AAACATCAGCTTTTCTAATAGCAAACTGGCTAAGTGTCTAGAGAAGCATATCACAACCAGGGGGTTTGTGTGTGTGCATGCTGAGAGGTGCAATTGATTTGTTGTGTGTGTTTTTCTAACCCCTAGCCCAACAGACTATATTCCAAAACATAATGGGATCACAAAAACTAAGTTATCTGTAGCATCTTTTAATATGGCACCAAGAAAAATGAAGGCTATTCATAAGCAAAAACATCTCTTTCCTTAATAGTTAAAATTAAAAAACCATATTTGTGAACTAGTCTACTGCAGCTCATTTCTGAAAAAAACAAGTTAAAAGTTTATTCACTTGAGGTCAAGTGCTGCTCAGTAATATTAAGTACTCAGCTTTATATTTCTGTACTTATAAGTTTTTCTAGTGTCTACAGTAAGTGCTAAGTGTTGACTTGTCACTAACACCAAACATAGACTACAGCTTTATTCTCACACAGAGCATTGGGCAAACTCCTCTTCCTATACCTCCCAAGTACACTTGAACTGATGACTAAATATGTTTCACAAATTTTACATGGGAAAGTGGTTCCTTAGGGATAATACATTTTTCATACATGAATTTGAATTTTAAGTTTTATACGTCTGCCCTCACAAATCTTCCTAAGTGGAAGAAACCTAATTTGGCCTACAGAGAACTCTACCTACCCTGAAACAGATGTAGACTTGGGCCAAGCGCCCTATGAGGCCAGTGATTGTGTTAAATACTGAAAGAAAAAGTCCAACAAAAGCTATTCTATTCTAATTCCTATCCTTCTTCCTCCCCCTGCCATGCTATCGCTGTGGGGCTCTGAGTCGCCTGTTGTAAACTAAGCATGATGTGCTTGGTTTCAAAAGATCAGCCCCTGTTGCCATGGGTTCCTGCAACCAGGCATCAGCAAGTCCAACTTGAACTTGTTTTTTCCCAGCTCTCTACTACTGGTGCGAGTTCTTTTGGAACTGCTTTCTTTCTGAAACGTCTTTTTTTTTTTTGGTGACAGGGCATTTGTCTTGTTTTAGACACAGTTCCACAAACATCTTTAGAGAAGGCAACGTTTGACTTTCAAATAATAAAAATATAGGAGACTAGTTTTTTAACGTGGCTTCAAACATTAGGGTCCAGCATACGAATCCCTACAAAGGTCAGGGGAAGTGTTTTGAGGCACTGCTCTGTTCCTGGAGGTACTTACAGGTGCTAGATACCAAGAATATCTTTAAAAAGGGTATTCTCATCTAACAAGTATTCAATCGTCAGTAAATCTGTGTTTGCTAAATTATGATTCACTCTAAACAATCTTTATAAGTTTTATCTATTGCATAGTAAAATCTAGAGTATAGTAGCTAGTGTAATATGGATAATATAGTAAAGATCGCATTTTGATAGTAAAGTATACAACTTTACAATACAATAAATACTATAATATAGTAGATATCTATACTAAAGTTGTATAGTAAAGTTAATAGTATTGATAGTACGGTCAAAATTAATATATTTCCTCTTTCATCTAAACTTTACATTCCATTGCAATGTCATCTAAAGTGTATATTTTAAAACAATCTTTAAAAATTTCTCAGCCAGAGAAAGGCTTTCACAATTGTTTTGGATTGCCAAGGGTATTGGAGAAGAGATGAGAAGGAAGGCCATGATATTGACAGTAGTATAAATAGCACTGTACATGATTCAGGGGAAATACCAAGGTAGAGATAGTTGAGAGATAATATAAATAAAGAGATTTTGCCCTTTTATCTTACAGTAAGACTGAAAGTTTTCTTGAGAAGGTAACTTTGAAAAATAAATAATGATGCCAATAAGATTTAAGTTTTTCACTCATTGATATTTGTGGTTTGTAGGTACATGTACCTATAACTGCTTCCCTTTTTTATATTAGACTCTATAGATGCTAAGTTTAACAACATCAGTATACCTTGCATCATTCTGTCACCTAAAAACTGGAGAATCTATGTCAAAACACAATAAACCAATAATTTCTGAGCATCGTTATTGTCCTTCTATAACTGAGAGCTGTTAGTGATGGCTCAATGGTGTTAACATTTCACTGTCTATGCCCAGCAAACACTAGTCTGACATATAGTCTCTGTAGATCATTCTCTACCATAAATATGGGTGCTAGTCATCACTGTTGTAATATTTTTAGCCCAGTCACAGATACACTCTCTGTGATGATCCTGATTGCATTTGTTTTAAAGTCTACATTAAAGACCCAAGTCCTGACTTTCTATCCTGTTTATACATTATATTCTTTCTCTTTTCTGTGACATTTATTCTGAAGGACGTTGACCAAACAGCAAGATCTGGAAATTTAAAACTCCCTGGACCAATGGGAGATTGTTAGTCATTTGTCTGCTTTCTCTGGTTAAGCTTACATAGAAGGAAAGATTACTATTTTCCTTTTCTTCAAGTCTCCTGTTGTCTAATAAATCAAAACAGCAGAGTTTGTGAGAAAGCCATAATTCATGACAACGAAACACACAAGTCTCACTGTATCTAGGACTATTAACCTAAAGACCTGGTTAAAAAAGATAGATCCTGTAGGAAAATAGACTTATTCTCTACTGAACAAATAAGACAGAATGATTTCAAAGACTCTTGTTGCAGGTATGCCCACCGGATCTTGCTCTGATAAATGCAATTATTTTGAATTTGCTTCTACAAACTAAATTGTTTATACAGGAAGTGCCTATTAGTCCATCTCTATATTAGTTTGCATCTTTTGAAATAGAAGGATCCTAGTCAAATAAGAGTGAGAATTTAAGCTTAATGAGCCTCTTGCTTAGCTGGCCTGGGGGTCTAGGAGTGAGGAGGTGAAGGGTAAGGTGAATGCTGGTTAGCCTTCAGTGCCCTTCCAGTGTTCTCAAAGACAGGACAAAATGACTGTAGTTTTGGCATGCAGGGGCCAGCTTGCTCAGGAAATTGTGGCGTGCATAAAACAAAGCACATAAACAAACTCCCCATCCAGGAAGCTGAGTTTAACAATTGCCTCATTAACAAGATCCAGGAAAGGACAGGAAAAGAGGGGGAAGCCAATAGCTGATTATTATACAGCCCTAGACAGATGAAGCCCTTCAGCTTCTCCCCAAACAATCCCTGTAGTGTGGATTTGACAAAGTGGCACATTTAAGAGGGAACTCTCTTGCCGTCAATGGGAATCAGGCGCACCCGTATCTGAGGGCCAAATTCAGTCCCTGGAACTTGACTTTATCGATAGACACAAGACAGAGGACAAGGCAGCGACATCCACAGAGAATTAATTAAGAGCAAAAGCGACATCCAGTGAATGTAATCAATAGTCTGAACACTGATCTACATATCAACCACCTTTGCTTTCTCCCCTTCTATTCCTTTAAATTATTTACACTAAGGTGCTCTTATAACTACTACTTCAATAGAGATTTATTTGCTAATTGGCCTCATTGAAATTATATATTTCTCATTTTGCATCCTATAAAATATACCCGCAAAGAACAAACACCCTGATGTCAGTTTAAGTTTCTGAACGGTTGAAATCTTTTCGGGTAGAATTTTAGCCTGGATAATTTATTAGTTTGGCTTTCTCCCTGCACATTTCTCTAGTTTCGTATGGGAAGTATGTTCAAAGAAACTTGACTTCAAAATTGCCAAAGTCCACACCCAAATTTGTCTTTCCTGGCTAATTTTGTTTTATCTCCTTTTAAAATTGTCCCTTTTGAACATACCATAAAACCCCTCACTAATTATTAACAGTGTTGCTTACAAAATACTGGTTTAACACAACCTTTCCAGCAATAGTATTTGTTTCTTCTATCTGTCTCAACCCCTTCCCGCCCAACACACATATCCAAAGCACATCATTGCAGTTCCCTTTTTGAAACTAATGAAAAAAATCATATAATTTTTATATTGCTTTCATTCCTGCTGTGCAATAGTACAGGTCTCATTACCTTCATTTTTAAAAGGCTTACCAGAGACATCATTTTTCAAGACCAGGTTCTTGGTTAAGTCCTTTAGCAAAGACTCTGATTTCTTCTTGAATCTGTGCTTTGATTGCATCTCTCCTAAGCAGCGCTGAGACCAGAGTAATTTGTCAGTCGTCACTTTTGACCCCGGCTTTGCTCTAGCCCAGCAATTCAACAGCAGCCTTTATTGCTTAAGGGAAATAGGAAATTCTGCCTCCTGGACATAAACATGTGAATTCTCTATGTCCAGGACCAAAAAGGTGAAAAGGGCAGATTTTACCAACATTTCCTTAAGAATGAAAGTCTCACTACTAACACATGTGGATCCACATGTGTAATGTTTTGCTCATGAGTCACATTTTAGGGGTCTATGTGTGAAGAATTTTAGATTGTCATTGGGTCTAATTTTACAGATCTTACTTACACCATACTCCCTTTGCAACAGGCGAGAGTGTGACTTGAGTAAGCACCATAAAATCAGAGCCTAGTTTTCCCTCTGATCATGATTGCATTTATAAATAGATGTGATTACAAAGGTAGCACCAATATAACCTCAGGATCATCTAAAATATAATGATGCCATAATAAATGAAACATTGAAATGGAAAAAAGTGGTTTGCTAGGAAAGGGTTGATTTCTTTTTACTCAGAAACTAATAGGCAGGCATAATTTTAAAAAATGATGATAAAATGTAGAATTATTACTGACACAATGAAAGTGTAGATTTTAGTGACCAAAAAAAGTTGATGAGATATAGAAGCATCTGCTACCCATGTTTTAGGCCCACTGGAAGCAGCTAGTGTTCAACCAGTTTGGTTTTTATATGGCCTTAAAAGATATATGTCAACTATGATTCATTATTGTAAGAAAAAAAAAAATTACCTGATTGTTGACCAAAAAATATGAAATGGAGAAAAAGAAAACAAACAAACAAACATACCATGTTCACAAACAAAACAAAAGAATTCTCTGAGGGACATCAGGGAAGGTGGAATACTATAACAACACATGTTATATTGTTATACTATTCCACCCACCTTAATGAGGAACCCTTGGGCGTTGCTACTCCATAGCCTTTCGAATCCAGATTTCCTCCCACTTTCATCGTGTCACATGGCTTTCGCTGCTCAATGTATTCATTCATAGTGGACTCCAGGAGAAAGGCAAATTTGCCCTTGGATTTGCGGACACGAGCCACTCCCTCAGCTGTAGTCCTAGTGAACACTGACGGCTCTGCTGATCGCATGTAGGTCCACATCTTTTCATACACTGCTATTTTTGATCTCTGGAGGAAATTAAAATAAAATTAAATACAGGAAAGAAGGGAACAACATGTTAATACTGACCGAACCAAGATAAGAATAAAGCGCTTTCAGTACCTTTCCATTGCCCTCTAATTCCAATTTGCCATTATAACATCATTCTTTTTCCAATTAGAAAACTGAATTTAACCACTATTTAAGGAAATCACTGAAATGACAGACATTTAAAAGTGATAGTTGAAGAGGCTAGTACCTCTTGTCATAACTACCCTACTCAACTGCTTAAAGAACAACTTGTTACTATTAATTTTTAAATGTGGAATGCCATGAAGAGAATGGAACATTTAAAATCATGTTTTATATCACATTTATGGTAAACTTGAAAAGGACCAGATAAGATTTGATTTCAGCTTTGTAAAATATCTTTTAATACTGTATTGAATTCTAACAAATAAGGAGAGTTGTTATATTGTTTTATTTTTATTGTTTTTATGCCTCAAAGTTTTAGCGAAAACCGTTCTGATAAGATGTGTACAACCAGTGCAGTCCGTATCAGGTCGGTAGCTGAGCACCAGAGGAAGAGAAATTACCGTAGTTTACAAACCAAATATCCATAACACTAGAATCAAATTCTAGGTCTAATTTTTAGACCTTTTCTAACAGAATCTCCAAATAGAACATACATTAAACTTTAAAGAGAAGTGAAACTTATTTATTTCTGTCCATTTGGTCTCCATCTCCATTACTCCCACGACTTAATTTATCCAGATCCTTTTGCTGGTATCTGCATTCACATTAGACTTTTTTCATTCACACATACATTTTTAATGTGAAAATATATGCAAATGACCTCAAATGTTCCTAAAGGATATATTTAATAGGATAGAAAAGCCTGAATCCTGTTTAATGTTTGATAATGCAATGATGCACATAGACTTTTAGCTGGTACAATTGCATTTGTTCAATATCAAGGTGCTGAAGTTTTGCATCTGGATCCAAATACAAAGTAATGGAGACGTCATTCAGATTTAAATCTATGCACAAGGCCAAATCCTGAGTAGCATGTATATTTATTTACATTGACCTGCGTTTGTTTACTAGGATATAGAATCTAACAAGCAGCAGATCTTCAATAATAAACAAATATCCTGAATAGCAAACTTAAGAATACATGTATTTAGGCAAAAGCAAAGTATTCAGGTGGACGAAGAAAGAAACTGATAAAAGTGGTATTCAAAATTTTGGTTTCATAAGATGAGAATTTAGTAATCAATACACCTATATAATAAGCCACACAGTAAGAGATTTGCATACTTGAACACTAAAAAACCCAGATATTTTATATTAATGTGTATTCAAATGGTGGTAAATATCAAGATGGGAAATAAACATCCTGTAGTGTCCTATGAAATTTTTTTTTGTTGTTAACACAAAAATATCTCATGATATAGAGATTGTGATGTGTCTCTGCGTGTGTATTTAGGTAGTGAAGGTTACTTCTGGCTACAGAAATCCTCACATGAGGAAATTCCATGCCAACATTACAATTCAATTTCAAAGATTCTATGTAGTTCTAGGACAGGCGAGTATCTGGATTCAGAACCCTCAACCACGGGATGCACTAGGAAGGCCATGTTGCCAGGCCTCATTCATTCCAACTCTAATAATAGAGTTCTCTTCCAGAGAACTAACTCTTCCATTTTACAATGAGTTCCAAGCTCTGAAAATTATAAGTTCTCTGGATCACTTGATACGGATTTTCCTTAAACATCTATTCTGATCATTTCAATTTAGAGAAGTATTGGTAAACAACATCCTTTAGGCATATAATCACTTTTCTTTCGTATATTGGTAACTTGAGAGTTTCACCCGAAAAGGTATAGAGTTCCACATATATTGTACACTTTACCATGTATACTACATTGAAAACAGACGAGATAAAATCTGAGTATTATTTTAATTGAAATATTTTTTGAATTCTTTTAAGAAATATGAGAATCATACTAGTTACTTGGCAATTTTCCTATTACTACTTAGTATCTTATTAAAGGAATAGGGAATAGCTAGATAAAACTAACATAGCAAACCAGAGTAGTTTTAGGGCGTGGTAATTATGAACATAATTTAACTATAGAATGCAATGTAATATTAAAGCGAAAGATTTTAAAGGAATAACGTATCTTCAGGCCAATGGTAGTTTTTAGAAGTCCATTCCTATAATATTAACGTGAGAAAATTACTGCTGCATTTGTTTAAATATATTGAATTACATATACCTTAAGGGCAAAAGAAGTTAAATTAATTCCTTTAAAATCCAGAAGAAAGAGGAATCCATAGTGTAGTTATGCTAGACTTCGGAGGCCTTAGGTATAATAGAAATTGTAAAATACAGCCTCCCAGTGGAAAATAAAAGAAAGATGAAAGCAATTTTTTTGGAGAAAAAAGAATTTACACAATTTGCCACTTAGTTAATGTTTAGAAATTCCGATTCCGATTTAAAGGGGCATGGCTTAGATAAGATCACACACCAACACAATAAAGGGGGGGATTCAGGAGACGAAGGACTGGAAATAATAACCCTGTGCCTTATCTGTGACTGCAAGAGAGTGTTTGCTAAGGATTGAGGGCAAGCAAATGTTTATAAATTTGATGAGACAGGCTAAAATGAGGAAATTTCTGCAGATCCAGCAAGCTCATAAATATAGTCATAATGGAACTTTTAAGTCTCTGAAACCTTCCACTGTGATACCTACTTAAAGATGAGGTTTGGGGAGTGAATATGCTCAAAGTAATAAGCAGAGATAATATAAAAGCCATTATTTTTCTTAAAATTAGAAAATTAATCTCAGATTTATTTGTTTCATCTTTACTGTGAAACTTGATGCATGGGAAACCATCTGATTTAAAGAACTATTTTATTACTTAAAATAATTCATGGAGTTTTAAAAATGTGCTATTCTTTTAATTTCTCAAAAATTAAGTATTCTGCCATTTCTGCTTCTAATAGAAAATATGTCCAAATGTCATGCATTATAGTAATATTTGCATTGTTGTCAGGCGAATTATTTCCTGCTTCTAGCAGCTTATGTAGCAAGACTGATGTTCTCATAAGAGCTCCTCAATGCCCTAGTTGATAATATAATAAGCCCCAAGATAGTAATCCACCTCATTTATGTATTCATGATTTCACTGATGACTGAAACAGGCACAGGATAAAATCTGCACTGAAATGAAAATCAATGTGTTCAAATCAGGTGTATAATAATGTAAAAGTACCTAAACAGCAAGGCTGTCATTAAGTGAAAAGTACAAACTTTCTTTAAATGACTCTATGTTTATGCTTACAAGATGCACAAAACATGAAACATATCAAGTTTTATAACGGAGCAAGACCAAGGCAACAGTTGAATTCAGATGTAATTTCCCCCATGGCCTAATTCTTTTCCCATTTCATTATAACTGCAACGTTTTTGAAGCGCTGAGTACAGGTCACTGCCTGAGGCAGTTTAGAGGAGCTGATAGAAGTACCATTACCGTGTTCCTATGAGAAAACATTTTTGACAAGTACAAAAATACCCTTCACGTTATGTTTCTCAACCTGTCAGACAAATGGTTTATTTAAACCAGGTCATCATCCATGGGAGAGGAGGGAGAGCACAGTAGGAAATGAATGAGATTTTTATCAGAGAACCCAAATTTATGCATTCCTGAAAGTGTGCTGCCAGGGAAAATTATTTTCTTGTCCCATTAGGGTTCAGACTGTTCTGCAACAATAAATATCTATACTTATAAAAATCTTTCAATTTTAAAACTGAAGTTGTGTGGGAGAGAAAGGAAACAGGGCAAGGTGATTGCCCAGCCTGCATGGAAGGCTCTGTAAATTGAAGAAGCAGCTTTTCTTATTCCTATATTTCTTATCAATATATTTTCTTATCTACCTCACCAGTTTTAGAACTTGAGCAGTTTTTAAAAACTCTATAAAGATTAGAAATAAACATTTTCAGTGTGTTTGATGCCAAAGAGCTTTACAGTGAGTTATTTTTGAAATTTTTTCACGGACTTGACATGACATTTCTTTCTCCCTTTATCATTCCAGGCAGAATGATGAACCTGCAAGCATCTGCTTTATTTATATGAAAGTAAGTCATCATTTTTCAGTAAATTGCAAGTGATAGCACAAACTTGTATTCTATTTTGATGCATATCCATAACGGTTTCCAGGCAAAGTTACTAAATTTTACCTACTTATTTTTGGGTGGAAGCAGTTACAAACTTACAGATTTCCAGCAAGGTACTGAAATTATGCTAACGTGTTAGAACAGTATGCTTCTATTATTAAGCTTTAAAGACTGGGATGCACTCAGTAAGTTTTAAAAATTTGGTCAATTAAGTTTATCCATAGAATATCGTTAATAAAATCTATTGTCATGACCATTATTTACAGTTTTATTAAAATCCATAAATGCTTTATAATTAACTTACAAATTTTATGTTATATCTACTAGCAACGTTCCAAATTGTTGACAAAGACATTGTTCATTGTCTGGTTTCTTTTTTAAACAATGCCCAGTGCTGAGTTTGACATAATTTTTGAGTGATTTGTTCTTGATTTAGTATTATGTAAGCATCTGTAATATATAAGGATACCATAATGAAATCCTTTTTAAAAAGAGAAATATCTTACTGAAATTCAAGTACATGAAATTTAAGGCTGGCTTAAAAAGTAGCACATTTTGTTGTTTTTAATTTTCAAGCTGAGTGAAAAAATGCTAAACATATACATTAAAATGAAAATGTAAATCTCCCAGGTATAAGCATGAACCTACTTTAAAGAATTATCATTATTTTTACACAAAGGCTTAGGAAATAGTGAAATATATCTTGTCTTCTAAATTATTAAATATCTAGTCTTTAAGCAATTGAAATTAAATATAAAATGTCTTCATTATTACCTAGTTAAATATTTGTGAAAATGTCACTCTGACTACTTTTTAATATTTTGGTTTGGAGATCACAAAATGAAACTTTATCTCTGATCAGAGATTACCAAGTGTATATCTCTGGATTTAAGTAGAACCAGATTAAAGTAGATTCACTGATCAAAAAATTCATCCTCATAATGGAATAAACAACAAAAAGCCCAAAACTCCCCAAATACCTGCCATCCTGATGGCAAGTCAAAGGGATCATATCCATATGTGAAATGCAATTATATCAGTTTGAACAATTTTATCTGCAAAAGCAGAGAAATCCGCACAAATGAAATACCATACAATAGAAAGTTGTCTTAGAAAGGTGTCTAGAACTTAACAGTTCTTGCTACCATTATCTTGTGACAAAGCAAATATATTGCTTTGAAATCTATTGGTACAGAATAGATTACAGAATAATATACCTCATAGGTAGTATACCCTGAAATTAAGGTTTTGGGTTTCAAATGCAGCAAGTTAAACGTATTCTTTAAAAAAAAAAAACTTGCTTTGGTTTTTATGCTCTTGGCCCGCAAATATACATAAATCCAGTCTTGCCAGATGCAGTATCATCATGGCATTATCAACAACGGAATCTTTTGGATAAATTACATTACAAAGTTGTTTTAATTACCTTTTTGTTGTTACTTTTCCTTAGGGAAGGTCCCTCTTGCAATGTGAATAAATCGATTAGCTTTTGCAAATTAAAGTGGTTATAAAATCCAAGTAGAAGTATTAGCATTAAACATAGAAGTTAACATAATATTGTGTTTGCAAAACCTGCAATAGCTAGAGCCCATAATATAATTGTTGGCAAAATTGCCTGAATTAAAAAATTATGAACATTTCATTGTTAGTTTTTCCCTTAACTTACTCTGAAAAATTCTTTTGTTGACCCTGAGTCCAGTGTTCCATAGGCGATTTCCGTTTGTTTGGCCAGGTCTTCCGCACTTTCTATGGGGGAGACCATTCGCTCCACCGTCAGGAAAGCAGCAAGGTTAGCAGTATAAGATGATATAATGATGAGTGTAAAGAACCACCAAACACCTCCAACAATTCGACCTGAGAGGGATCTAAACACGGATAAGATAATGCACATTTTCCTTTCTCTAACCGACACAGAGAAAGAAAAGAAATACCATCAATTCACCAAGAATGTTTAAAAATAACAATTGCAAGTATCATTTTATTTTCTAACAGTCTACTCAAGAAGGATTTTGGTATTTCTGTATAATTTGGTGTCTTTTATGCTATATTGAATGTATAAATGCCACTGAAAATATGAAAAACTTTTCGCTTTTATCGTTTAGTTGACAGAAATGTGGAAGTTAATGCCTTTCCTTTAGGTACAGCAGAGGGATACTTGCTTAAATTCATTGATACCCTCTCTCTCTTACATTTCAGCATCTCTGAAATTAGGATGCAGTCTCTGGTTGATGAGATAAAACATAGTACCATGATTTAATCGGCAGCACTGCTTCTCTCTTGGTGGCAAATAAAATAGCAATACATCTTAACCATGAGTGAGGTCTTAAATTTGATACAAGTTGGTAGATGTCTTTCTGAGAGAACTTGTTTTTGCCTTCAGTCAGAGCCTTGCCAGGATGGGTGGGACAGGTGCCGAGGAGACTGGACTAGATGAGGATCTAGGATTGGTCTCAAACTGACAATAGTTGAGGATCCTTTTTGTTTATTTGATATTCTATTTCTGGTCTGAGTGGAGGATGAGCTGTGTCCTAAAGGATCTTTATATACTGGTGTAAACATGTTCTCTCTACCACTGCTAACATGTGACCAAAGCGTGTGACTTGTCAATGTACAGAGCAATGACATTAAAAACTGATGCTAGGTGGCCGGCCCAGTGGTGTAGCCCTTAAGTTCATGTGTTCTGTTTTGGTGGCCAGGGGTTCGCTGGTTCAGATCCTGGGTGCAGAGCTACTCACCACTCATCAAACCATGCTGAGGCAGCATCCCACATGGAAGAACTAGCAGGACCTACAACTGGGATATACAACTATGTACTGAGGCTTTGGGGAGAAAAAGAGGAGGATTGTCAACAGAAGTTAGCTCAGGGCCAATCTTCCTCAAAAAAAAAAAACAAAAAACTGATGCTAAATCTCAAAGAAAAAAGTTCTCTCTTCACCCTTTCTCTGACTATCAGGGATGTGTGGATGAGTGTGTTTGCAGAGGAAAGGTGAAAATGGAATGAATAAAAATTCAGGGCATATTCATAATTGATTTCACTCATTGGGTCCGTTGAACTATTTAGAATTCCTGTGAACAAACTGTTTTTAAACTTTTTTTTGGTGAGGAAGATTGGCAACAGATGTTAGCTCAGGGCCAATCTTTTTGCTTGAGGAAGAATATCCCTGAGCTAACATCTATGCCAAGCCTCCTCTTTTTTGTATGTGGGACGCCACCACAGCATGGCTTGATGAGCAGTGTGTAGGTTCGTGCCTGTGATCTGCACCCATAAACCCCGGGCCCCCGAAGCGGAGCACACGAACTTAACCTCTATGCTGGCCCCTAAACATATTTTTTTAATGTGAGGAGAAATTTCACATTTTCCATGGCATTTCTAGCTTTAAAATGATCCCTTCTTAACCATTATTATATAAGTGGCACCTGTTGGTTTTAACTTAGTAATTGCTTAATCCTGGTTTTAAAAACAATTACTTGATTTGCTTTGATTCCTTCTCATTTCATTAATTGATTCCTTTTCATTTCATTTCAGATTCCTATGTTATTGGAATTTAAGCACATTTATAGTTTTCCTGGGTCTTAAGAAACACAAACTGCGTTGTGGCTAAAATGTCTCTTTTTGAGAAAGTATACATTTAAAAAAAAAAATCCATATATTTATGATGCTAATATAAGTCACTATTTAAATTTCAAGTCTTAGCTTTTTCTACCTTCAGCTACCTTTTCTATGGGAGAAATTTGTTATTTTTCTTGCAACAGGAGATTGGCTGCCTTTTTGGCAAACATAACTGAAAAATGTCTCAATGACATCCAAAGGAAGTGGTCATGACTCCGCAGATATTGAAAAACCTCTCTATAAAACTCACATGGTATTTACATTGCTCTTTGCCTTCTGCTTAGCTTTTTTGTGTTGTTATATAGAACAACGTATATCTGGTACCTGCTATATTGACTGAAGTTTTAGGTAACTCCATGGCAGAATTCTCCCTCAAGATACATGGCATGTAAATCAAATTCAAAATTAATTTTTAAAAATGAACAACAGCAACAATAACAAAAACATTTGATTTTGAAAAGGAGACAAAATGAAAATGAATTCCTATTCTTACAATTTAGATTTTAGTTTCCATCTGTCAAACCATTTAACGAAATATTCATACTAAGTGATTTTTGAGAGTTCTAGTTGGTTGCATATGTTACTTTGGTATTGGGAAGGTTAATCTTTATGATATAGTATCCACATTTTGCACTAACTTGGAAAAATTGGCTATAAATACACTTAGATTAATTTGGGAATTGCAAGTTTTTCTGTGTTTCAGGTAATGCTCTGCCTCCAGGAAAAGAACATGTAGAGAGAGGTTCTGCACGACACTTAGAATTACTGGGGAAATTGTGAAGAACTTAAGAGTTTTGAAACTAACCTGGGTGAAATGTCACATCCTTGCTGCATAAAAGCACCCAGGGAAAACCAGAGGCTGTTAAAGATGCCAAACTCATTGGGAGGCTGGTCGCTGGGTCCTTCCTTTCCATCCTCTGGCTCTTCTGTGTGCCACTCATAAGGACTAAACCTACTAACTAGGAACAAGACCACGCTGACACCAATGTAGGCAAACACTATGCACATCCAAATCTCATAGGCCAGAGGATCCAAGAAGGAAAACACTCCTGGTTTAGATTTCTGAGGCTTTTTGATCATGATAGATATGCCCAAACTCATGAAGGGCTTAGAGAAGTCAATGACCTCCTCTCGGACCAAAGTGATTGTCAGAGGGGCAATAGCAATCTCTGCTTTCTATAAGAGAAAAGACACATGAAAACACATAGGTTAATGAATTTCGTGAAGCAATTAGCACTGGATTGATCCATTCAAAGCTAACCAGTTATGCATTCATTCTACATTTTTTTTGGAGTGCCAACAATGAATAAGATAAATACAGAGATGAACCATAGATTTGTTTTCATAAGGTAGTATATCACTTAAACTGCACAAAATATTGTTATTGGTGTCAGTAATTAGATAAGAGGAAGAGAAATGGAGACAGAGTAGACATAAGCAAAAATAACTTGAACTCAAATAACTGTATTCATCTAGAAGGATCTGGGACAGTGCAGCAGAGGAGGCTTAATAGTCTTTCCATATGGCTGAATTTCTGAATTTCTTGGCCAAGAATGCTGCTGTGTTGCAGCCTTTTCTGTTTCATTTGGAATGCTGCCACTGATTCATTACTTGGCCATCCCTTGATATTGTGAATTGCAAATTTCAAACAGTCCTTTCTTTTTTATTCCTTTCCAGTTATAAGAAAACTGATCATAAAATCTGTGTTTGTAAGATAGAAGAAACCCGTTGTTTAACAACATTTTCCAATTCAGCGCACACACAAAAATCTGGAAATTGGCATTTATTTCCTCCTATTCACATATTTTGATTTTCTATTTTCAATTTCTAAAAAAGATTTTGTAAAACAGTGGATTCAATTCTCAGATATTATGATCATATGACACCAGCTTTGGTTTTCGTTCTGTGATTTTGAGCAATTTTTCTGAGCCTGTTTCCATATCTCTAAAATGAAGACACTTTCTTTCCTGTTTATCTCATTGTATTATTGTGATTATCTATTTAAAAACCTTAATAAAATAATAGTGAACATTTATTGAAGGATTATGTGTCTGATGCTGATCTAATTTTTTTTTTTTTTGGTGAGGAAGATTAGCCCTGAGCTAACGTCTGTGTCAATCTTCCTCTATTTTGTAGGTAGGTCACTGCCACAACATGGCTTGACGAGTGGTGTAGGTCTACGCCCAGGATCCGAACCCACAAAACTGGGCTGCTCAAGTGGAGTGTGCCAGCCTTAACCACTGTACCACGGGGCTGGCCCCCTGATCTAAATATTTTAAATGGCCTCTCATTTAACTCTTATAACAGTCTTATGTTTATCATTGTTTTATAGATGATGAAATGGAGACTTGGTGAGTTTTACACATCATGGCGGCTCTGGGATTTGAACCTGTGCTTCTTCCATTAAATCATGCCACTTCTAAAATCAAAGGAAATAAAGTGTGGTGAAAAAACTAGAAACTGTTACATGATCTACAAATGAGAAAAGATTTTCAGATTATTTTAAAAGGAAGCTATTTGGCATTAAAATGGAATCTGAAACATACTCAGACATACATGTCCTTACATAGAAGTTGTTACTCTTATATTCATTCCTATATATCCTTAGGCCCTTGGTTTGATACAAAGCCAGCAGCCTGATACAAGGGAAGCTGGAGGGTTAGCATGGGAAGGTTCTCTGGCCATCATGCTATCCACTAGTTGACTGAGAATTGCATGTATGTGCCTTTAAGTGAGAATAAACTTAGTTCACATCATAAATGCCCACATATACAAAAGCTGGAATCATTGCTGGGAGGCTATTATTTTCCCCATAGTTATTATTTGTGTAATTTTCATTACACAAGTGATATATGAACTAGTTATAGAATTGAACCAGAAAATTAGGAAAAATTATCTTCATTCTCTTCACCTACTCTTATTTTTTCTTTCTATGTGTCTTGCTAGACATTGTTTTAGGAATAATATTTTTTCTTATTTTAAAATGGGATAATACAGAACATTACATTTTATAATTACTTTTCTCTTCTCAAAAGAATATAATGAGCTCATTTCATTTCAACATATATATTAAAAATAACTTTTAATGCTTGCAAATCTTTCATCATGTGAAGGTATCAAAATTTACTCAATCAGGGGCCAGCCTGGTGGCGTAGCAGTTAAATTCGCGCATTCCACTTTGGTGGCCCAGGGTTTGCTGGTTCACATCCTTGGCATGGACCTAGTCACCGCTCTGTCACACCTCAGCCATGTTGAGGCAGTGACCCACATAGAAGAGATACAACTCTACAACTATGATACACAACTACGTCCTGGGGCTTTGGGGATAAAAAAGAAAAAAGAGGAAGATTGGCAACAGATGTTAGTGCAGGGCCAATCTTCCTCAAAAAAAAAAATATATATATATATATACTCAATTTCTTATTTTGGGGGATATTTATGTTGTTTCCAGTTTTACACAATTTATTACATTGATGATGTGAACATCTTTGAAAACAAATCCTCACACATATCTTAATTATTTAAGAAAAATATCTAGAAATAGGATTGTTGGTCTAAATGGTAATCTTTTTAATGCTCATGATATGTTTTGCCCAACTTTTCTCCAGAAAGACCACGCAAATTTCTACTATCACAAGCACAGTGTGAAAACATCTGAAGCTTTAAATTTTGTACACCCTTTGTGTATCTTTATTCTCATTTATCTTCACCAACTTACTATATGACAAATTAGATCTCACTGTATTAATTTGGAATTGTTTTAGTAAAACAAATAGCAACTTTTACTTCTTTTAGGCATTACCTGTCATGATCTGCCCCTATTTTCCATATGGGGTATTCATTTTTTATTTACTAATTTGTAAGCACCTTTAAATATATTAAAAATATTAACTTTTCTTTTCTAGATATGCTACAAATATTTTCCCTATTCATCAGTCGTTTTGTTTACATAATTTAGTTCATGGTATTTTATTGCAATATATATGTTTTAAATCTCGTTGTAGCCATATACAATTACCTTTATGTGTTTTTGGCCTTTGATTTCAAGCTTAGAAAAATCTTTCTCATATGATATGATCAATCTCAATCATATACACTTTATTCTGGTACCAATAACCCCTCTACAATTCATTTGGTATATTGCATGATGATGTGTTACAAAATTATGAATTTTCCAAGTAGTTGCCCTGTTGTCCCAACAGGAATAAATGCATAATGCATCCTTTCACTGATTTGAAATGCTACCTTTCACATACTACATTGTTGTGTGTAGTATCTTCTGATTTTTTTTATTTATAGAAGTTACTGCTAATGAGAGTGAAAGCCTTAAAAGGAAAGGAAGATGAAGAGAAATAACGGTGTCTCAGCACGTAAAACCAGATGCCGTGGAAGGCAGACATTGGATGCAGATGGTGGCAGCAGTGTTCCATGAGGACACTTTTGAAGTCTGAGATTTGTGAAGTGAACAGAGAGGATACGTAGGGGATTTCTCTGCTAACACTGGAGATGTCTCGTGGTTGCTTGTTCCATTATCTCTCAGCGATTCCCAAAATTAAGTGTGTAAAATATCTCCTGCAGGAGCTTGGTGAGATTTGGATTCTTGAGGACCGCTGGAGTGAGGCTCAGGAATCAGCAATTTAACACAAACCACAGGTAATTCTGGTGCTGGTGGGCCATGGGCCATGCTCTGAAAAATGTTCGCTTGGATTAAAACACACACACAATTACTGCAGGGCCCAGGAGAAGGCTCCGGAGCAGCGCACCACAGGAGGTTGTGGAGTGGACTTGCTGCAGTGCGAAGGTGTGACAGGAAGAAAGGACCTGAGAGGGAAAGGGACGTTCTGAGCTTCTCAGTCACCACCTGGTGGTGTGCTGAGATCACACGTGAGTGTTTCACAGATAATCTCTTCCTAACAATTACAGGAACAAAGTTTGCAAAGGATAAAGTAAAGGAATGTATAAATAACGGATTCAAGTTAATCATTTTGCTGTCTAATAGGCTCTATGGGGTAGAAGAGAATGGATCGAGTGTTACCTAGGGCCCTGGAAACTGAGCATTTCTGTATGTGTTAGCAATAAGAAAGAAAAAAAGTTGAGAAACAAGTACAGACTTTGCAGACACCAGAATGAAAAGTAACAGATCTGTGGAAAGTGTTAAGAGGCATGAAAGAAAATTTCTTGGTGAAAAAAGTGGACAGCTCACGTGGCAGAGATTGGGGTATTTAAACCCTTGCAGACTAGCTGATGAATGAATATAACGAGTGTTAAGTAACCACTATGTTATCATCTTTCTCTAAGAACTGCATGACTTTGGGATTTTCTGTTACCGTGACGTGTACTACTGATATAATTTTTTTTGCTAATTATACTACTCTCTTCATATCACTTGTTTTCATTATTTAAACAAAATCCCCTCAATAAAATGTGGCCCAAACCCTTGCAAAGGGGTGAGCCTGGGCTGCCCAGTGCGTAGGAACTCCAGAGGAGAGAGATGTAACAAATGCCTTAGAAAGTAACTCAGGTTAGTAATCCTGCCCGTAACTAACTGGTAATCCAAGTATGTTTTTTGAGATGAAATACTAAATAGTGTTTTCTGAAGGAAATGAATGACTGTAGTCTAACGACATGGATAATGTTCACATCTAAAATCTGCTTACTGTATCGAAAGTTTGAAATATTACCAAGAAACACACGCGTTAGGAACTCTTTTTATTTGGACTTAAAGCTCAATATCAAACTGTTAATGACGTGTGTGGTAAAATATTTTTTCCTTTTCTAAAATTGCATTTTTTTCCCTCACTTAGGACACTTAACCAGTCAGGAGTTCTTTCAAACGGATATAAAACTAACAGATTGTTCTTTAATGTCAAACCATTTCTTTTTGCTTCGGAGGTTATAGCCACTGGACTGGACTGTGTGAGAAAGTTCATTGCTTCATGGTCTGAAGACCAGGATGCAGAATCATGAAACTATTCAATTGCAGTTCTGGTTTGGAAAGTGAGCCCCTCTGTGGAATTCAGTGATGTTCTAAATCTTCCTACTCTTATTCTTTTCTAGGGAAGGATGACTCTTATGTAATTCTTCATTTCAAAGAGGTCTTGTGAGGATTAATCAGGCACAGTATGCTTTGAAGGTGACATTTGTGAAATAGGAATTGACTTATAGGAAGTTTCAGAATTCATTTCAAATGTATGTGACTTTTATTCGTTACTCGATGAAGAGAGCTTACTGTGAGGTAGGTTTTGTTTCTGGGCTTTGGAAATATCACACCATCATTAGCATTTGGTAACTGCTGGTTTGATTTTTGACACTTTGCAGTGGTAGCTGGAGTACAATCTTGTTCTGATTCAAGCAGGAATGTCTACGTTGAATTTGCCCTTGGCTATGAATGTGTACTCTCGACATCTGGTGACCTCAAAGCGAAGAGCATAACATGCTTTCATGTGAGGCCTGCTATGGAGTAAATTCTAGCTTTAATGTGTTGCTGTGTATGCTTGTAAATATGATGGCATTGCTTAAAGTTTAAATTTACCGTGTGTAACAGAATTATAAGAATATTTCATTATTGGTGACTATTTTATAGGTGCTAAATAGTGTAGTGATTGCTTCATCAATTACTTAAAAGATGTTTATGAGTAATTACAACCAACAAGGATATAAATAGTTAAAATAATGTCCAACTTTATACAGTTCAAGGAAACCTGTTCCTACAATTATCAAATAACAGATTACTGATGGATTTGTTTTGTAGTTCTCAAAATAACATGTCTATGGTGTAGCAGCATCAAACTTAAGAAAATAATCATCACAGATCCTGAGGTCAGTGTTTTGTTTCATTTTTTAATAAAACATCATATTCCGAATTTTTATCTCTTTCCTGATTTTGAAGTTTTCAAGTGTCAGTTTCTCTCATTGTTTTGGAATTGCATTATTAATGAACAGAGAAACGTCTGAACACTGGATATGCCTCTTTGAATGTAACTGCAAATTTAAAAAACAGTAATAGACGTTGAAAAATTGATGTGCTCAAGTGAAAAGAAGTTTCAGGTTTACGTAAGTAAATTCTTCAATAAATTGATTTGCTTACCCCATAAACAAGTTCTCCTACCATCCCATTCCAGATTTTTGTGTCTGCATCCCTTGCTCCATATTTTCCATCAGGGACAATGGCAATTTTATACTTGATACCAATATGTTTTGCAATTTCAGATGCCAAATCTACACAGTATCCTTCATACTTGTCATTTCCTTCAAACATTTCGTGATTTTTCTTGTACATAACATATGGGGATTCCTATAATGAGAGAAGTAGAACTGTAAAGGAGACATTATAAAACATTCGAAAATCTTTATGTAACTTTTCAGTTTCAGAATTTGACAAAAAGATTATGTTTAGTATTAGTATACACACTGATCTTGTGTGGCTAGAAATCAATAATAAAATATGAATATGTAAATATGCTTAGAAGTATATTAAATTGCTTTACATTGGGTATTAGAAGTGAAATCTTTAAAATAATTTTCTGTTGAGTGATTATTACATACCTAGCACTGTGACTGTGATAAAAAAAAATGTCCATTAATAATTGTCTAGAGAAACATAAATTATCATCTTTGGCAATGAAATTACTATTTCCAAAATATCTCGCGAGGTTAAAGACAATTTAGTAGTCAGCTTCATGTAATAAAAGACTCATTCAAGGTCACAGGTGTCCATATTCTGCATGTTTGGCCACACTCGGCTGTGACCTCCTTTAGGAAAAGAACTGGGCCATTTTTCTTTGATCTCTAGCATTTAGCAAGATGTCTTTCTCAGAGCAGGCACTTGCTACACAATTGTTCAAAGAACAAATGAATTAATAGTTTAAAAAATTTATATAATTTTAAATAATTTTTAATTATTTGCATTAAATTTGCTTTCCTAATGTTTGATATTTTGGCTTTAAATAGAGTTGTGATCCATGAATTCTAATTCTATTAGAAAATATGTCTTTAATGGAAGCTAATAATTTTCCCCCAATTGTGACAATCACACACCTCAAATGATATTCCCATTTAGTTTTCAAAGCGAGTAAGACAGAAAAGAGGATGAAGAGTTATTGTGAAAATCCTTATAAAATTAAAAAGTTTACTGGTGGCTAATAATAACTGGACAGTTTTCAGTTAAAACACACACACACGCACGCACACGCACGAACATGTGAACACACAACCCTAAACCAAACCATTTAAGGCCATGAACTAAGAAGACGTGTTAGCAAAAAAGCACTTGATTTTATAAATGGAACATAAAGCCACCAACTAAAAGATAGGCCTGGTGAACTTGCTATAGAATTCCTGGTCACACCTCAGATTTTCCAGTCACTTGCAGACAAGGAGTGACCACTTTTGGCCACAATGTCATTGAGATCATGTAATTACATTTTATAAAAATGTACTGTAACGTTTATTTAGTGACCTTTCATAAGAATCTTCCCCACTCCCCAACAAATTTGTAATTGAGGAGGTTGAATTTGCTCTTGGAACTCTGGATTAGAGGGTAATTTACTTTGCATAACATGGCGACCTACACTAATTCTGATTCTGTTTTTAAGTATTTTGTAGATGTAGAAACTACTTTTAAAATCTTAATAAAAATGTAAATTACATGATATATGACTTTTGCATAGAGATGCCCTAAATAACTCTATTGTGGGCAATTGTTTAGGATTGGTACTTGTATTATTTTCTTACATCTTGCCTTAGATTGACATGGCCAAGTGACCCAGAAGTCTCATACTTTGGATTTGATGAATATTCTAAGAATAGACTTGAATAAAGACAGATTCTCCACCTATAAAATTAAGGCAACTAATTGTCTCTTCTTTAGGTAGATGAGAATTATTTATTAGTTTACAGAAAACATTCTCCAAGTATAAAGCGTTTTGCAAATTATAAATGTGGTTATGAAAACTGGTGAGTTGTTGCAAAGCATTGTTCATTTCTAAGATTTGCTATAAAATATTAATAGTTATAATGAACTAATCCTTTAATTTTCTTTCTTTTTTTTCTTGCTGTAGCTAATTAAAATATGGAAGACTATGTAGAAAAAGGTAAGAATTACACATTTGTAAAATGCTTAACATTTTAATTGAAATGGCTGATAGCTGTCATCTATAAGTATAACTATTAGTATAACAAACTTGAGTTTTTCAAAAGGAGAATAGCTAAGGCTCACATTTGGTACTAAGGTTGAAGATCAATTCTAAAGTGTCTGGAATATTTGAACACACAAATTTTAGACCTCAAGAGTATATATTACAATATTAGCTTGTATGCAGAAGTTTCCCTAGCTAGTATAATCATCTAATTTGCTAAATTCCCTATACATTATTTAGTGAACATTTGCTTCATTAAAAGCTGCATTTTTATTATTTAGTCAAACATTTATTAAGCACCCACTGTGTGCCAGGCAGTTTGCTGGGACCTAGGGGTACAAAAATAATTAAAATATGCCACTTGTTCTCCTGTGATTAAGATTAAATTCTTTGTAATAAGGGTAAAGGAGTGAAAGTGGACAATAATAAAATATAGTAGTGACCAATAATGACAGCTCTTATTTAGTGCTTACTCTGTGTCAGGGACAATGCTAAGTTCTTTAATTGTGTTCTTTCATTTACTTTTCACACGGACATTTTGAGGTAGGCAATTCCCATTTTGCAGATGGAAAGTTTAAGGCTCAGAGAGGTTAAGCAAATTGTTCAATTTCACAGAACTAGCACAAGAGGGAATTGAACCTATATTTTGAAATATCTGGAAAATGTCTAAGGTATTATTACATCCATCAAAATGTGTAACTATTTGATATTTCATATTTGATTTCTCAAAAGAGGAGATAGATTAAAGAAATGAATTTCTGTATTTTTAGTGAATGAAATTCTTTATATGAATCGCTAGTAAAGAATGTAGATAAAACCTTTCCGTATCTCCTCATAGTGTCTGGTACATATAAGGCACCCAATAAATATAAGGATTTCCTCATCTATTAGTGTTTCCTATATAGGAATATCATTCCAAAGTATGATAGAACTTCTGATCCAGGTCTACAAAAGGAAAGTAATATTAACAAGTGCTAGGTCATCTCTTCTGAAACAAGCATATGTGTGTATGAGTACAATTTCATTTAGTATCTTCTTTTATGTTTTTCAATGTCCTTTATGGGCAGCATTGGCCCATCAGGTCTTTGTTTTCCTGCCAAACAAATCAACAAAGGCTAGAAAAACCTGCAGGTTACTGAAGCTGTTGATTAGAAATTTAACCAGACTTTTTGCACATCCAGGGCACACACAATTATTGAGATTCAGATGAGTGGTGCCTGCAGTATAAGACAAACAAGCTGACCACACTCGGGAAGGTGGAAGAACAAAGGGAGAGAAAGGCCAGACTTTTCTTGAACAAAAGCTCTCATGGTTGCTCAGCTCCACCCAGTGTCTCTGAGTGTATCTCATTTTGCTTTTCTTTCATGTCAAATCCAAATAAGAAGCAAATCCTCAATACTCTCCCAATCTCCTCATTGACCCCACCCCCAATCTGACAGTTTGTCCACGAGTAGCCCTTCAAACACTGCATACTTGGGGAGATTTAATACAAAGTTTTGGGTTACTATGGGTGAAGAAAATACCAAATCTTTTCAATATAATAAAAAATGAGTTCTGGTCAATCATTAACGGGGATTTGTGGGACATCTTTGATAAACAGCTTTGTGGAGTCCCAGGGCTTCAGTTGTGAATAAAAATGAAATGTTCAGAGAAGTGGAATATAATCTCTTACTTCTGTCTTCAGAGTGTATAACTACCATCTTTATTATCAACTACTATACTTTGTGGGACAATAATTCCCTAGAAGTTATTTTAAATGCATTTTTTTTTAAATTGAGGTAACATTGGTTTATAGCATTACTTCTTAGTGATTATGAAATTTATTACTACACTTTCCATAATAGATAGTGTTCTACACATGCTCTGCTATTTCAGGAAAGAAATCAGTCTCTGTCTAAAGCTGCCACATTAGGGCTTGCTTATGAAAATGTTTGTGTAAATGAATTAAGATGATTTTCAATCAATGAAGTATAATTTTCCTACTGAGGAAATTTTTTTTGGATTATTTGTATTTAGCAAAAGTGAAATTGTTGAAATAGGTACATATTAGAAAGGCTTCAAGATCTTCTAAATGTCACAAATATAATTATTACAATTACTAATGAGAACAGTTAAAATAATAAAATCAGTATCAACCAAAGTTAGTTGGTTATACTATCAACCAAAGTATAACCAAAATTATCTACATGTAGATATTTGCTTTTCTCCAAAGAATCTTAATGGATGTAGATAATTTACCCCATGGGTAAAATTCTTAAAACTGGAAATTAAAGTGTTATTATTCAATTCAGGAAAAAATGAGAAAATTTAATGGCTGCACAGTTTTCAGTTTTTTCAAAATAACTTATTTAAAAACTAATTGAGTTGTAAGCCCTTTGGAGGCAGGTGTAGGCATGGGGGAAATTAATACTTGGTACAAGGAATAAAATAAATATATGGGTATTTTCTGTATATTTATGACATATACATATATTATATATAAATATGCATGTGTATATTGTTGTACATACACGTGTATCTATGTACAGTTATGTGCCACATAATGACGTTTTGGTCAACGGACTGCGTGTGACGGTCGTCCCATAAGATTAGTACAGTATAGCTTAGGTGTGTAGGAGGCTATACCATCTAGGTTTGTGTGAGTATACCCTATGATGTTCACACAACGATGAAATCACCTAACAACACAGTTCTTGTAACGTAACCCAGTCATTAAGTGACGCATAGCTGTACAGTGCATCTATAAAATTCTACATGGAGAAGATAATATAACAAATAACTCATAAAAAATATAAAAAGTTACCTCTGGAAAGATCAAGTGTGGTAAGTAAATTGCTTTGTAACATAATTCTGATGCTGCAATGAATAAATTTGGATTTATGGAAAATTTTCCTAAGGATTGTTATGTTCATAAGATGGTAAGAAATACCTTCTTAGTTGAGTAATGCATCATAAACATCACTTAACTTCAGTAGTAAAGATTTGGGGAAAAATGGGCTTGGTTGAAATATCACTGCATTATCTCTCCTTTTACAGAGAGTTCAGCAGCCAAAGAAAGCAGTGAGATTACAGAGGAAAACACCACCCTTTCATCCTCCATGGTCTACGCAAACTGCCTTTTTCCTCAGTTGCTGCACCTATCCAAACCACGAACAAAGATTTGGTTTCCTTCCATTGTTTATAGAAAGTATTATTTTGAATGCAAAAAGTTAAATCAGTATGGCCATAGTCTCATAAATGTTACACATTGTATAAAATTTTTAGTCACTAAGACTTAAAAGGTAAAAAATGATGAGCTTTTGAATCTTAAACTTCAGACCTTTCAACTTTGTAGTCACAATTCTGATGTGATGAGATTGTCAATTTTACTTTTTATTTAGACTTAGCTCAGTTATATTCAGTATGACTATATTCGGGTAGAATAAATTAGTCATTAAAATGAAGATCACATTATAGACATACAACACTGTTATAAAGAAATAAATTTCAACAGCACAAAAAGCTAAAGCCACATTTTAATTAAGAATGGTATCTAATATACTTATTTATTATGTTTCTTGTCTGCTTTCTCTTACTAGAATATAAGTTCAATTGAGTGCAAGATTTTTGTCTGTTTTGTTTTCTGACATATCCCCGGACTTATAGCTGTGCCTAGCACGTAGCAGACGCTTAATAAATATTTATGAATGAATAAATGAATTTCTCAATAAATTTTATTTAACAATAGCATATACCATTACAGTGTATCAACATATAAATAACAACATACACAAAGACAAATGGGAGAACAGCAACACCATATCAACTTCGATCAAAATGAATGATTTCCAGTGCCGCAACACTCTCAGCCTTCTTCTGTGTCTAGATGTCTGTCTTGCACATATTACAATGTCTAGCTAATTCCATCTATGTTGGGAGTTTTCAATTGGATCTGGGGGATTATTACACGCAAGTGCCAATATCTCATTCATCTGCAAGGAATTGCATTTCTTTCAAAAATAAATGAAATGGTGGTGATGTCATAGGTCCCAGGCTACCATTTTCAACAAAAGCAAATACAAGGAACACTTACAGAGAAAGGATTCTAGAATTTTTTTTTTTTTGAATTATGGAATGATTATGTAGTTGCAAAGACCAGAGATATTATTTATATGAAGATTACATTTTTATACAAAAGACAGATACTAGTATTGCACTATTTTCATAGCAAAAATATTGATGATATCACTGTCAAATGATAGATAACTTTACAGAATATTCTTTATGTATATAGGAAACAGTTGGATTTTTCAATCATTTTTACTTATTTTTTGATAGCATGCTTTCTGAAAACTAGCCATGCTTGCAAAATTAATTCATTATTTTGGTTTTAAGAATTATATCCCCAGCCCTTTAATAACAGGTATGGAAAGGAGATTCTCTACATTACACCTATAATGCACATTAAAACACTTTATTTCACACAGAACAGGCAAAATTTCAAAAATTCTTTAAAGAAAACAACTATATCTATTGAGAAAACAAGCACACAAATTCGTAGGTATTACTCTTAAAAAAATCTATGCTTGGAATTAGGAGTGACATAATTCCATCATTTACGTACAATGACCTCATTTCAAGATATGGGAATTGCTATGTTAGAATCACTAAGTGATTCTTTTTCAACATCTATTTCTTTTCTTGAGAAAGATGAAGATTAATTCTTCTTTTGTTCTAGTATCTCAGAAAAGTCACAGAACTTTAAAAAAAATTTTTTTTCTGCTAGTCCAGAGTTGGTCATCCAAGAAGAATCCCACATGAAAAATTAGCTTAAATTTACTACACAGGAGAACAAGACTCGAGCCTTAGTTAAGAATGGTCGAAGAGCGTGGAACTCATTTCTTCCTTGATCAATTTCTTAAAATAGGATTCTTCATCAGAGGCTGAAAAGAGGAGGACTGCACTGAAGTATGACTTTCCATTACTGTGTCTTTTTTAGGAAAAGAAATATATATATATTGCTTTTCAAGTCCCATGCAAATATTACACAAGTAAGTTAGAAGGTATATATTTTGCATTCTTACACAAATACTGCTGTTGATTGGTTTGCATTCTAAAATCATAAACTTCCAATCCGGGCTGGGCAGATCAATATTAAATTGCTAGCTGGTGATGCAACACAGATAAAACTAATTGCAACATACAAAAGTTTTTCTCTGGCATTTTTACACTTTGACCTCAATGTCAAAATTTTGGAAATAACTCGACATTACTAAAAGCCTAAAACTAAAATTACATAAAATACTTCCACTTTATTTAGAATAGGGGCTTCATAAACAATTAAAAATATATTCTGCCTAATGAGACAGTGAGCTGAGGATATATAACTTTAAATTAGATAGAAAAGGTCACCGATTGTTGATCTCCTTTGACTAGCTTTGACTGGAAAGGGCATGTTTGAATTTAGAAGAGAAAAATATGTAAGATATTCTATTACTTAAAAGGTAATTTCATGAGAGTCTCTTTGAAAAAGCATCCTTAAAATTTAGAGTATTTTTCATTTTATGATGTGACTGAATGAAGCAATCGTATTTTTCTTAATTCCTAGGACAAGTTCAATATATTATATCGTGTATTTGTCACCTGTCAATGAGAAAAATAATCGGTGCAAAAAACCCTTTTCGCGTTAAAAATAAGTATAAAACAATTTATTTCTAAAACATTCAGTTGTATAAAGCATGCTCATTAAAATCTTCACATTCATATCTCCACTATTATAAACAGACAATGCAAATCATTATCTGATAACTAATCTATCGGGAAATTATCATTTTAAGCACTATTAACTATTATTACATTGATGTTTTAACAAACATAACAACAATAATATAGTGTTTACTACTAGATATTTTTATGTGATTGGTTGTTGGTCTTTTTCATGTTCATTCTTTTGTTCTTTGGAATCTTAGCATTTCATACATTTCCAACTAAACTGTGACAGTTTCAATTTGTAACATCTGAGCATTTTTCCAAGAACAACAATATAGCAAAAGATAATACAAATGAAAGTACTGAATATGCTCAAAGCTCAGGACAAACCTATTCAAAGCCTCAACAGACTTTTGTGGATCAGAACACCCATGCCACCACTGCTAAGACACAGCTTTCACACATCCCCCCCACCCCTGGCCCCCCAGTTTACCATAGCCGGGGAATTAAAATTGCCTGTGGACAAAACGGAACAGCATAAAGCATAGACCGAAACTTACCATAATTGTGGTTACAACCACTGTTCTGTTCTCAATAGCTGCTGTGTCATTGCCAAGGGTGGGGACATCTTGAATCAAGACTAGTTTATCCATATCATTCCAGTAACCAACCTGCCAAATAGAGAAAATTCTTGAAAACACATTTTAGAAGAGTTTCTCTAGTTTTTATTAGAACAATGAGGGGTGTTATTAAGAAAGGAAACAAAACAAATTTAAAAAGCAGATGAAAAAAAGTATTTGGAAGTTTTCTTATTGATGATGAGCCAGTTTTCCTAATGTTCATGATACTGCCTGGTTATCCATTTGGCAACTTTACAATTTACACTCATGGAGTAGCCAAGACATTGGGAATGAGTGGTTCAAAAAAGAATATGGGTACAGATGGAATGCCATTTCATGTTGATCTTCTCTTCTAGTGAGATTGACTGGCACTTTCTAAAATTAATTTACATGATTTTATCAATAACATTGCAGGTTTTATGGTAAAAGGAATAGCCAGATTTATAAAGGGGACATGTATAGGATATTTTCAAGCAAAAAAGGCTTTTGTATTTTTAAAGCAATGTAGAAATAGTTTTTGGTTTGACATAGCATAGCCACTAGGTAACACTCCTACCATTTCTAAAATGCTAAATACATCAGAGATTAGTATTAATGACCAATATTTTCACTTTCAAAGATTACATTTAAACTTGTATTTTTTCATTTTTAAGTCCTTATATTACTTCTAATTTAGACATGAAAGGAACTCCTTTCCATAAAATATATCAAATAATTAGTTAAGCACTTTATAAAGTAGTAAACTATAATGGGGTCCTAAAGGAAATTTAAGGTTGTTTGTATCATGCAGACCAGTAAGTAATAGCTTAATAGCTACCACTTTCTGATTGCTTGCTCTGTGACAGACACTGCACTCAATGCTTTCTTTTATATGCATCTTAAAGTTTATACACATAGCAAATGTAGAGGTAGGTGCAATTGTTATCCATATTTTGGAGATGAGGACCCATATAAGAAGGTTAAATAAATTGCACTAGGTTATACTCTAGTGGGGCCAGAGTTCAAAAGTCAGGTCTGTATGACATGTATATTTTGCTGTTATGCTACACAGCCTCCCCCAATGGGTGTTCATTTAATGCTTGCCAACATTCTTTCTTGAATTTCTGGATGCAGTTGATAAAACTCATTTCTCCAATAACACGTATGTAATTGCTCACTGGTCTGTATTCACTATTTGTTCTAATATGTTTTGGAAGTTTCTCTTGCTTCCTCCAAGTTTCTTAACTGTCATGTTAGTATTTGTGAACATATTAAAACACAGTAAGCGTTAACACGTCAGAAAGAGGCACTATATTATTCACAAATGTTGCATATATAATTCAATAATAGAATAGATGGAGAAAAAGAATTTTCATTAATGTGGCTTGCTATATTTCTCAGTTTGATCCAAAATTATGAGTATTTATTAATTCAGCAATTGTTTTCAATTGTCCATATAAATCCATTTGTAGCTGGCATTTATTTAATAATTCACTAAAAAATTTAATTTAAAAACAAGTGTAACTTTGAGACCTACCCTCTTCTCAATTCCTACATGTGCTTAAAAAATAAAAAACCAACGTCAGTTTTTCCTGTTAATTCTCCTTTCCACGTGACAGTTCTACGACATGAAAATGGGGTTTAGAATTTAGCACTTCATTAAGATGCTGCCACCTGCTAGATTTCAGCAGCCCATTCCCCGAGAAAGACGATTTTTCTTTATTAGTGAGTTCCCACAATAGAAAAACCACAGAGCTGGGGCACATTCGGGAGAATCTTCAGATGCTGGAATGACCTTCACATTTTGCATTTAAAAACAACTTGTGGATTCACGACTATCTACCCCCAAAAGACAAATGATTTAGAAGTGCTGGCAAATTAAAATAAGCAAAATTTTACCCAACTGTATCTATTCGCCTTATATTAACTTGTAATTCTCATGAAAAAAGAAAGCATATGGGACCAATTAATGAGAGGTCTCATATGGGCCATGAGCTTATTGGGAAATAAGACCATATGGGGTGGACAGCGATCAGGGTCACTTCCTAGAGAAAAGAATCTTAGCATTTGGCCCTAGAACCTCACTTGAGATGGAGTTTCTCTTTTTGGTTCTTCATGAGCTTTTCCAATCTACTAAGAAACTCTTCCCATGCCTCATCTCATTTAATCAGACAGGGAACTAGGCATTTTTCCTAGAGACAGAAATTGGGTGAAAAATAGTTTTGTAATGCTAGAGCAAAAATATGGAAGCATTTAAATCACTAAATTGCCAAGGGATGTCAGAAAAATATTTGTCTTCTTTGAACTCCTAAAGGAGAACTGTGTGCAAATAGAACCATAATATAACGTATGAGTAAACATCTCCGTATTTACAGTGGACTTTGCCTGCAATGTAGGGTTTGGGTAGGGATTGAGGGGCTGTAAGGAGACCCTGTCCTACTCAAAGTTGGTTCCTTGGAGAGCTGATTTGATCAGACCTGTGCTGAAAAATATGGCTTAATTCCCATACCAGCTCTAAAGAAAACCCTTATGGGCCCAGGGACTGGTACTATTTCATAGTAGTCAAGAGTGTGAGCTCAGAAGCTAGGTGAACCTTGGTTTCCAGTCCAGCTCTACCTCCTTCTAGTTGAGCATCCCTAGGTAGGTCACTTAGTTTCTCTGAGCCTTACTTTTTTCCTCTATAAAATGAGAAAAATATATCTTACTTTCAGGTTGCTGTGAGGTTTAATTATAAAAATGCACATCAATTCTTCATTACTGTGTCTGGCATATAACCTGCTCTCAATCGATGTAGTTTTTACAATTAAGAATTCCTGAAACTATGCAAATCTAGTCCTAGAGCACTCCCTCTGGGGGTCACTGGAATGAGAAGAAGATTCCACCATACTTAAGAGCTGGGACTTCAGAAAGAGCTTTGTGGCTCTGCTTAACAAGAATCTCAGTCAGTTTTCCTGTTACAGAAGTCAGACAAACGGATGGGTTGACTCTCTGATCTATCTTCAAAGATAGCTCCCTTGCTGGCAAGTGTTCAATTTACAAGAACGATTGCTCACTTTTCAGACATGTTGCCGAGTCTCACCAGCATAGTGTTTCTCATGGTTGCTCATTTTTAAGTTTAATATTCCTGACAGAATGCCCAAGCTGATTGTTGCCACAGGAAAACGAAGACAGATGAGTCTACACCATTTGACACTTCATATTTTTTTAAGAGTCTTCGATGAATGTCAGCTGAGTGTGAAGATGTACTGTTCATCACTCTCTCAACTTACTCTTTAACTTCCTCCTCGGAAAACCTTAATTTTTGTAACCATCATGATTCAATAGGCCATGAAAAGATACAGTATTATAAATAGCCCACTTGATATTACTACTTGTTACCACCAGCTTCCTTGTTCAGTACAGTCATGTACCGCATAACAGCATTTTGGTCATGGATGGACTGCATATATGACAGTGGTCCTATAAGATAAGTACCACAGAGCCAGGTATGTAGGAGGCTATACCCATCTAGGTTTGTGTAAGTACACTCTGATGTTCGCACAATGACGAAATCATCCAATGCATTTCTCAGAACGTATCCCTGTCGTTAAGCGACACATGACTGTATTCTTTCTTTTATAGAGAGATCATTTTATTTTTTGTACTTAGTGTTTTGTGAAATATAGAATTGTCTTTTGCATTTTACAAATCTTCTGCTTACATGGCTGATTTTGCAAGGTCTGGTTTGTAGCAGGAAAGTGTACCTATTTTACCTCTGCCCACCAATGTTTTTAGGGGCCTGTAGAGTATTCTGTCTGCTCCACAACTAGCAGAGGGACTTTGCTTAAAATGGGCCTTTTTCTTTCTGGTTGCTGGCTGTGTGCTGACAGAGAGGGTAAAGTCGGTGTTTACATGGAACCTCCTAAATTTCTTCTTGGGAGCACATCTCATTCCCTTGCTGCGGGCAGTGTCCTTAGGAGGCCATCATGCAGCTTGGTTTCTCAGCTGTCATTCATCTCGTGCCCTCGCTGCTCTCCATCTCCAGCCTAGCTGGCATTAGCTGGCAGCCTGCACTCAGGGAGAGGCCACTAAGAGTCTAAAAAGCTAGGGATGGTTTTCATGGCAGCTCCAAATCTCTCCTTCTCGTGTATATACAGAAGCACATGCTATGACAGACTGGAGAGAAACACAACTCGGAAAGCTTTTGCCATTTTCCATGTATGACTGTAACTCTCCTGCCTCCAACCTGTCTTCACGGTCTTGCCTCTTCCATTTCTACTGACCCAAACTTGAACTTCATGGTTAACTTTAAATCCCGTCTCCTCCACGCAGCCTTTCTTTGATTTGTTTTCCTCCAGCTGGAAGTAAACTCTTCCTCTTTAGAATTTCCACATGCCTTCTCTTTAACTGTCATATGAAATTTATTATATTCTACTCTACTAGAAAATAAATTCCTTTACAGCAGAGTCTACTCAGGCGAGGTAATGATATAGACAGGTTCTGAATTAAAATCGTTTTTTTCTTACTTATAGGCCTTAGACAAGTAACCATAACTTATTGGATCACAATTTTCTCATTGGAAAAAGGGAGCTAACAGTACTCACATTATAGATTTGTTGTGAGGATTAAATTACACCAAGTCCAGTGCTTGGGACACAGCAGGCATTTCACATATTGTAGCTATCATTATCATATTAAAGCAGGAAAGTATATCTGGGAAAGTTTTTTTTTAACAGCCAAGTGTTGAAACAAATAGAGTTTTTAGATAAAGTAACTTGAACATCTTTTGCCTTGAGCATCCTAGCTAATCTTAGAGAAAAGAAATGTTAAAAAGTTACATGTGTTAAGTATAAGATGTTCACAGCCAATTACTGCGGTGGGGCTGTATGGTTCCATTATGTAAAGTACTTTTTGGATGTTGGGAAGAGCACTGATATGCCTTGTCACATCATAAGACCAGCAGAATTACGTTCCAAAATCTAAGACTCTAGCACTAGCAGCTTCCTGAACAACCTTCTCGGCCCCACAATTGGAGTTTCCTAGATGTTTCTCTCCATCCTCAGCTTAACAATAATCTTAATGATCTTATCTTCTGTCTGCTCTCTCTTTTGCTCATTTGAGTGTGTTTACTTGCTTACTTCAAGAACATTCAGCCTGTTCTACATACGCCCACCCATTAGAAGTAGTTTCCTTACTTCTTTCTCTAATGATTTCATAAATGACTACATGGAGGTAAGTATGTCTCTTACCTGCATTGTGTGCTTCCTGCAGAGTAAATTTTGTTTTGTGGGATTCTTTTCGTTAAGCCTTTTTTTTTTTTTTTTTTAAATATTGCTTCCATTATGGATAAAGGATATAAAGAGTGCATAAATTAGTTTGTTTCAGCTTTGTCACACCATTAAATATCAATTATATGACACAAGAATATATTTTGGCACACATTATCAAGAAAGTACTATTTGTAAGTACTCACATTTAAGAAAATGTAGAATATCCAGCTACCTTTTACCTATAAGTCTTTAAAAACGTCAAATGCAAACTAAGAAAACAGTTTGAGTGTGGCTCACCTTCCTAGGTCCTGTGCTCTTTAGCTCAAACACATCCATTGTGTAATTGACCCTACGTCCATAGTGGTCAAACTGAACATTCCCGGTCAGCCCTTGAATTCGAACCTATGAATGAAAAAGGAAAGCCACGCATGTATTCATTTGCCATTACACTTACAGAAATCTCGACTTCATCTGCGAGGCTTCTGACTACATAGACGTGTGGAACTATCAACTACAAGCAACTCACCAAAGACTCATGGGGTATTTGAGCTACTGGAATAGAATCTGAAAGAGGACTCGCAAAGGAATACATAAGCAATTCTGCTATCCACCTGGAAGATGAATATGTTTTACTTGTTTTTTTATATCATAAAGTTTCCACTGTAACTAACAGAATGCTTCCTCAATATTGAAATATTGTTTATGGAATGGAAATGTGGTTTGTTTATAGTTACTTTTCAGTTTTATCTATATATCCACATAATAGATTAAATAGCTCTGATAACCACACCAGATCATATTTCTCTTTGCTAATATTAAAATTAAGATATAAATTCAAGGGTACTTTATTCCAAATCTTTTCAAAATTCATTTTTACTTAACTTATGTTCTGACCCCATGGCATTTCAGAACATTTAAAATATAATATTAAATATATACATATATTACATTAATTATTTAGAAAATAGTGTTAGTATAACTATAGAAGACTAAAATAAACAAATTACTTAATCCAAGGGTATCGGGCAATTTAAAGATCTACTGAGGTAGTCATTAGTAGTGTTTGCCAAATATTTCCAGTTCTTCCCCATTCTGGGCCCAAGGTAGGCTTGTACTTCCTGGACCTCTTCAGGTTAACTATGTCTATGTGACTCTTTCTGACAAATGAGTTGTAAATCGATGTGATGAATGTCACTACTGAGCCAGAGCATTTAACTGCCAATTTCAAACCTCCTCACAACCCCATTTCCCTTTGTAGCATTTAAGATAGTAGCTGCCCTGTCAGCCTGGGTGATGATGATTAACAGAGTGCCCCTAGTAATCCAGTGTGTGTGTGAGGAAGAAATACTCTTTTGTTGTTTTAAGCCACGAGGACTTGGGATTATTTATTACTGTGGCATAGCCTAGCTTATCCTGACTAAGCATCTACATAAGATTCAAACACTAGTATTCTTATTGAGAAATATCTCAAAAATGATAATGGCTCTATATACTAAAATAACAATTGTAATATATATTTGTTCTCAAATTATTTTGTTTTCTTGAATAATCCATTTAAACAGGACTGTGAAATAAATTGAACTTAAATAAAATTGTGAGTTACCTGTTTGAGTGTCCTCTCCATGTCAATTCCCTGGCCCCATGGAGCAGCAGGATTTGCCAGACAGTCCCCAGCATTACCTCTCCTCGAAATATCAATTTTCTGCCTTCTAAGATTTCGGAAAGTTTCAGCCATCACGAGGACTCCATCATAAGTCAGAGCAGATGTATACTAACAAAGTGAGAGAAATTATAATGGTAAATATTAAAATCTTACCAATCACCATGAATAGTCTAGGGGCTCTGTGGGTTTATGACCTAAAACACCATCCTGTCTGAAGGACAGTTAAATTACTGATAATTAATTGACTCTAGCTTCAGAAATTTCTATTATCACTTTATTACAAAGACTGTGGACCAAATCTTACCACTCTGATTTAAAAAGGAGAAAATGCACTCTGAAGAATAGAAATTCTAATGCACAGTTTTCCATCAGTTGGGAGAAGCAAGACCTCTAGGCGAGATCGTTTTGTTGTGTCCAAGTAGAAACAGCGAAAGTATAAAAAGCGAAGTGCCGTATTGCCACAATCTGCCTTGTGGTCTGTCGCTGCACTTGAGTCCCAGGAGGCCTGGGATGTCTTGCTCTTCCTCCTCCAAAATGCCTAGCAGGGGCCCCTGAGATTTTATATATGTTCATTGACTCGAAGTGTATAACTGTTCAGTTCCTCAGAAGAATGGGTGGGGATGTTTATTGTTACGCAGATATAGGATGCCAGAAATAACATCTACTTATTTAACAAACATGTATGCACCAGTCCCTGTGCTAAATAGGAATGAGTATTGTTAGGGCCACGATCATTGAGCGTGCTCGGGAACGTTAAGTCATTTCTCTAAGTTTCCATTGTAACCTAGGATCAAAGTGGAGAAGTGAAGTATAGACATCTGCTTTCCGATGATCCCCCTTGCTTCTCTTTGAGAAACGACGGAGCCTTCAGGAAAAGATTATTAAGGTTAGGAGACTAAGTGAGGAGAAACTGAGAAGAAAATGTAATTTCTTTAAGCTGAAAATCAAAAGAACAGGGAATACTTGTAAAGTTTGATTAGAGAATTCCTAAACACATGGAAAATGTGGCACAATTTTCTTGAAGCATCAACTGCTAATCATGACAAAAAACCACATTCTGTCTCTCAGGAATTTCATACGGTCAATTCCCTATAACTAACACATTCTAAGCCTGTAGTAGGGGTAGTTTTGTGCTGTGGAATATGGCAGATGATCTCCTCGATTAGCTGCTTGTAAATGAAGAAAAATCACTTGAAATTCAAATTGTAGAAAGAAAACTTAGGCAATATGACTATTAGATATAGCAGCCAGCATTCCAGGAAAGAGGAGGACTAAAACATGGATAAGATAAAGAATATAAATTCTAACAAAGGACTTTTCAGTGGTAGAGGATGTAATTCAAAAGCTCCCATCAGAAAGATTTATGTCAGACAGGTAAATTAAAAGCCTTGTGATATATTCTTCAAGGACATGACAAAATAGGTTTAAGGATAGGCAGACACCCTCACAATTGGAGTTGGGTGGCTGAAGGAGATTGAGGTGCTTAAGCAAGGTGTTAAACCAGATGTGAATATACCTCCTCCCCTGCTGGGACCAATACATCTTTGAGTAGAGAAAGCCATCAAATCATCTTTTTGTAAGGCAAGAAAATAAAAACAAGAAATAAAGTGAAACTTACTAAGGACAGAAAGGGCAAGAGACAAGTGCAATGTTAGTATTTTAGGATCAAGAGAGGGAAAAAGAAAAATGTTGCTTTTTTTAATAGGGAGAAAAAAGCTGAGAAGAGATGGCACCAAAAAGCGAATGCACTTGCTGTGTTTTAAAAAGTCCATCCGTTTTTATGAAACAAGTGAATTAGAAAAAAGAACAGATATCACGCAGAGCAGAGCAGAGCAGAGCAGAGCAAAACAGACATTTAGCCAGAGCAGCAAAGGCCTTTGACAGGTCATACAGCTGATAGATGGAAAGAAGCAGTAGTTTCAATCAGTTTTACCGTTTCAAAGGATTTAATTCTTTTCCATGTGCCATATTGTGCTGAAGTCCAAGAAATCATATTTATGGGCACAGGCTTCTAGATGGCAGCTAGAAAATTCTTATTAAATAAACACTTCATTTTGGGGTAAGGTAAAGCTAGATCTTGGCCTAGAGTCATTTACTGCTTTAATCAGTGATTAGAATGGTGGAATGAGTTATGTTTACCAAGATTAGTAGATAACAAGACAGAGTTTGGCAGAATCATTGTGCAGTGGCAAGAGTCTGGGCTTTAAGATGAAAGAACTAAATGAATTCTAACTCTGCTAGTCATAGTTTTATGGGAATGTGGAGCATAATCTTCAGCAATGGAACACAAAACATGGCAAAACCAAACAAAACCAGGTAATAATGACTATCTCCTGTGGTCACTGTGAGGCTAAAATTTCATATCATATATGAGAGCTTTTTGGAAAACGTGCTAGACACTGGCTAGCAATGATGAGGACTCCAAAGATATGTAATAGATGGTTACGCCCCAAAGGAGTTCATAGAAGTGAAACAATAAGTACACAGAAAGTTATGTTAAGTCCTTGGTGATAATTACACAATCAAACACTATAGAGATTGCAAAGGAAGAAAGGATCATATATACCGGAGGGCTGGGCCAAGGCTTCATGGAGAAAGTGGAATTTGAGATATCTAGTGTTCCTCATTGCAAGAAGGCTGTGATGTGCCTTATGGAGAAAATGCATATGTTAGATAAGCTTTGTTCAAGCATGAGTTACAGTGCTGTTGGCTGTGAATTCAATGTTAATGCATCAACTATGTATTAAATACAGTGGCTTTAAACAGAAACACACACAGAACAATTGTTGTTATGTGTTGATCAGTTGACAAAAATATTGTGACCAGAGGCTTGCAGGAACCTAATCTTGTTACCTAATCTTCTGCTAGGAGCAAAGGTTCAGTATTCACTCAGTCAGTGTTCATGGCAACTTTATAGATCATAACTAATAATAGTTATTAGAATAATGAGAATTGACTGTATGTATTTATTAAGTGGCTACTGAGTGCCTAGCATCATGCTAAGACCTCTAAAAGGTAAGAAAATTCTAAGTATTTATATGCAAAAAAGTGCCCAAAGCTGTGGCTTAGACAAGTCTAGTTGGAGGTCATCAAATAGGAGATGTTGGGATGGGCTAAAGGCAAGATAGGGAAGGACGAACCACACCAATGTGTCCAGAGGGAAGACCACAGTGGACACTCTGGGCACATGTTAATATTATTACTGAAGTGAGAAATAGTCACAGGAGCTACAAAACACTGCCAAGAAGTTTGAAGCCCATTCTAGATACTAGAGATCAAAGGGTAACAAGATCCTAAAGAGATGGTTTACAGAAGAAATGCTGAGATACGTAATGGTCTGACAACAGAAGGTGTGAGGAAGGAAGAAACAAGGTCATCTATCATGAGGAAGAGAGGGCAAGGGAATCTCTGCATACATTGATGACAGAATGAGGGGAACATGCTGTATATCAAAATGTCCAGATTAGAAATGAGTTCAAAAGGAAGCTTTACGATCTTCTCTTGGTGTATTATCACTTGATATAATTGAGGTTTTGGGATGACTTATCTCTGAACCTGCTTTAAGTCAAAAGGCAGACTAAAAGACTCCTCAAGATTCTTTTAAGCCTGAAGATGATTTGTATTTTGAAAATTTTGGGGCTTTTTAATATACTTTCGTATATATTATCTAAGCACAAGAAGTAGTGTAATATAGTGGACAATGCACTTGTCTAAGACTCAGGAAGCCCATGATTTGATTCAGTGCCTTCCACAAACCTGGTCCTTGACTCAGGGACAGCAAATTAACATACTTGTTTAATATCTTGCATTTATTAATCTATAAAATCAGATGTTGGATTACAGTGTTTGACCCATAGTGGATACTCAATAAATGCTTTGTTTGAAATCCCCTGATTCTACAGAGTTGGGAAGATGGTATGGCTAGCCAAGTTCCTACATTACAGAGGGGAAATTGACATAACTAGTAGGGTAAGTTTTATAATTTGGAAACAGAAGAACTGAGACTCTCTACCCCTAGATCGTAGTTTTCTAGGCTTGAATTTCCAAATTATGTTGGAAAAATTTTTACAAGAATACACTGTCAATGAGAGATTAGTAAAAGTTGTTAAAAGTGATAGTGACTTACTATGTAGGAGCTCAAAACCACTAAGTTAGAGTTTAAGAAACATTATGCCATTATTTACACGATATCTAAGGAAGTCATCTATCTTTTCAGGTGAGAAAAAACGTGCTTATGACCAGTTTCCTTTGCAGATACCTATAACATACTTCTGCAATGTCTATCAGAAAAAATTAAACAACCTGACTTTTTACTATTAATTTGAAAAAGAAATTTTGCAGAAGCTTATACATTTTACATTTCTACCAATTTACCTACTCATTATAAATCACTTTGCAAATATAGTTTTTATCTGGGTGGAATAATTACCAATGGTTGTTCACATTTGAAATATTTAGTTACCAAAAAGTTTTTAAAAAGTGTACAATTTCTTCAAGGAAATTCATATACAAAGTAATAGCAACAGTAAACTGCTTAAGCTAATGTCTAACAATTCTACTCTTAAATATAGAAGTTTAGAAATTATTAAGGGCTTGTGCAGCACAATGATAGTGACAAATACTTCTGCCCTATGCCGCACTATGTCTGACAGAATATTACTAGAACTGCATAATGAACTTTCTACCTTAAATTTTAAAAATGCTAAAAATACATAAGATACAAATGAACAAATACCTTTGGAGGAGTCTCAGATCCTGGATACTCTCTCTGATCTAGTTTCTTCCAGCGATCCATTAGTTTGGTTACCATAGGTGTGTTAAAATCTACCAACTGGAATCCTGTAACATTGGCTCCACCATGGATAAACCTCTCAAGAGAAATATCCTTGAATCCCTATAAAAATCAATATGACAATTTAAGTTTAGCTCGTTATTATACATTTCAGCTCTTCAATGGTAACATAAGTTAATAACAAATATGTTCATCCAACTAGATTTCTAATACAGTAATGGCTAGAAACAGGTGGGAGATCCAATTATATCAATTTAGCTGTTAAATTGTCAAAATCAAAATCTAATATATGAGAAAAGGATATAAATGTTTTCAGTTCAGTTCAACTCAGTTTAACAGGTATTTCTTGGATGCCTCCGAATGCCCTTTATGAAGCATGGAGGGGGATATAGGAGATGAATATGATAGCATCAGAAAGTCTCCTCTTGAGGGCATAATTGCCTTCTGATACAGACAAGTAAAAATGTGTCTTACGTGAAGGTAATATCAAGGTATTATGGTACTCTGAGTCTGTGGTGGGTAACACCTTTTTAGATGAGTTCAGTTTAATTACAAAGTGGTCTAAAAGCAGACAGAGCTGGTAATTTAAGCCAGAGAGGGTAAAAGCTTTGATTACACCAATACAACTCTCATAGTCCTGGAAATGGTAGTGGAAGAGAAGATAGCAAGATAGGCCATTTATGGAGCCCTGAGTGGTAGGAAAAAGGTGGTGTCCACGAGACGGAGTGAGGAAGCTGAGAGGGAAGGGTATCATCTCTTTTGGTCCAGAGGTAATTATCTGAGTTTCAAAAATTCTGGAAGGTTATTTACTATCTATCTATCTATCTATCTATCTATCTATCTATCTATCTATCAATCTATCTATCATCTATCTATCCATCTATCTATCCATCTATTTATCTATCTATCATCTATCTATCTATCTATCTATCTATCTATCTATCTATCTATCTATCTATCTATCTATCTTCAACCTAGTTTGTTTTACCCCGGGCCCCTTTTTTCCCACTAAATATTTAAAGTGCCTTACAAAAATGCACACTCAATACATAGTGTAAAACAAATGAGCAATTACAAGAAGAGGGCAAAAAGCATATTAGTGAAGTGAATTAGTAAAAGTAAAGGTATTAGCTCAGAGAAAAGCAAACCACGCACACACCTACAAAGACACACACGTGCACGAACACAGGCACATGAGTTTGTACATCTGTATTTGCTTTCTGTCTCGGTTTCTCTTAGTATTTAGCAAAGTTTCTTTTGAAAATGTGAATTTGATTCAGTTGTGCTGAGGGTACTAAGGGGAAGTGTTTGTCTATTTTCTTTGGTGGAAGTGAAATAAGCAGCAGCGGCCCTGTGGTTATAGCAGGAATCGGTGCAGGAATCAGGGAGAAGAGGAAGACCGGTGTTGCTTCTCCTCCTGAATGCGTCTCAGCCATGATTTTGGAAACTTCTGTGTGTGTCTGCTTTTTTTTTTTTTTTTTAATAGCAAAGGAGGTTGTCTTACTAGCCAATATATGCAATTGCTGTTTGGTTATCTGATGAGAAACAGACCAGTCTATTGGCAACTAAGCAAAGTTGCTACTGAAAGCCCCAGGACTGCATATTAGCTAAAAGCTAATATTGATGCTGGGCTTATTATGTGCCAGGCATTGTGCTAAGCACCTTATACAGATTATCTAGTTTAGTTCTCATAACAAGGTTATGAGGTAGATCCTATTATTAGCCTTATCTTACAAATAAGGAAACCGGGCTCGGTGGGTTAAAGTGAAACTATTCAAGATCACCCAGCAAATGCACATTAGAACCAAGATGACTCTTGAATTTGACTTTTTTGTGTGTGTGAGGAAGATTAGCCCTGAGCTAACATCTGATGTCAATCCTCCTCTTTTTTCTGAGGAAGATTGGCCCTGGGCTAACATCTGTGCCTATCTTCCTCTACTTTATACGGGACTCCGCCACAACATGGCTTGACAAGCGGTGCATCGGTGCCCACCTGGGATCCGAACCTATGAACCTGGGTTTGCCAAAGCAGAGCGTGCACACTTAACTGCTACGCCACTGCACCAGCCCTGAATTTGACTTTTTTTACCCCATGCTCCTGCATATTCTTACACAAATATGTGCTTTTTTGTTTTTTAGTGAGGAAGATTGTCCCTGAGCTAACATCTGTGCCAATCTTCCTCTATTTTGTATGTGGGACTCTGCCACAGCATGGCTTGATGAGCGGTGTATAGGTCCATGCCTGGCATACGTACTGGCAAACCCCAGGCCACCAAAGTGGAGCGTGTGAACTTAACCACTATGCCACCAGGCTTGCCCCCAAATACGTGTGTTTTTAATTTTGGTATTTATCTTAATACCTAGGAGAGGCAGGGTGGTACTGTAGAAAACAGCCTAGGCTCCGAATCCCACCTCTGTGACTTTCCACCCTTAGGTTTCCCACATGCAAAATGAGAATGATAATGCTAAAGTAGCTAGCACATCTGGTTTGAAGTCAGAAAATGATAACTATTATTAATTAATTCATTCAACAAATACTTATTTCATGTGTCAACTAATTTGACAGCTCATCAGTAACATTCTCATTTCACTGGGAAAGAAACTAGATACCAGAAAGCAAGTCTATGTTTTTGAAATGGGAAAAACACTGTCCACCAATCTCTAGCTAGTATGTCAGCTGAACGTTTGTTTGCCTCTACGAGAATCTAGGGCAGCCCAATGGCAGGCAAATAATTTCAGTTTTCTAAAAGCCACAGTGATTCAACTATTGCATTAGTTGCTAATTGATAACATTATTTTCTTTCAGCAGTGGCTGAAACAGAAGGCTTGCCAAGCTTTCTGTCACAGCATCATCCCACAGCTGCAAGACACAGGCAAAGCTGCAGCCTTCAGAAAAATCATCTGATGTAAAGTCTAACAATAAATAACATTCCACATCTCTCTGATTCCATCCTGCTGATATGCTGAAGGTAAAGGAAAAAATATTACCACATCTGATTATAAACTCCTTTCAGTTATAATCTGAATGAATGGCGGGTGGCTTAATCAATTTTAGCTATGTCTATTTGAGTACAGGCAATATTTTTCCTTTCATATATTTTTAAATAATTTATATAGAAAATTGATAGGATCTAGACTGTGAAGCAGTTTCCTTGGAAACGGTTACTTTGGTGGCCATTTAGATTTCAGTTTTTACCCAGAGAATACTGTGGAATTGAAAGTTCTGGGCCACATTGTAACAAAATTGTAACCACAATGTGGGGAGGGGAGTCAGTGGTTAAGAAACTAAGTAAACGCCCCTGAAGCAGGGAGGAAGACCAGGGGAGAGGCTTTCTACTTGTTGAAATGGGCTATTCAATAATGCTTGCGTTTCACAATGGTTAGTGATCTCCTAAGGAAAGATTAATTTATAACTTAGTTTTCCTTTAAATTTCCATTTACAGTTCATACATTCTCTGGGGGAAAAGAAAATTAGACTTCAGATACCCTGATGACTGTTGATGTAAATCTATAGGTCCATCACATCATAGGTGTTTAATAATCACTCATCCTTTGTTTTATCTAATTCAGATAACATTTCTGCTGTTTTGCATTTCAGGTTTACAGGTTGACTAAATAATATTGAGACAGCTCTGGTGCAGTTAACAGAAGGAATGTCAAGTAGAATGGGAGAGATTCCCTCTCAATATCTTTTAAAAATTAGATTGTTAAGAATTCGATTTCAAGTATGCATTTTTGACGATTAAGTAGATAGATGATGGAGTCAGATATGCTCAATGCAGAAGAGTTGAATAATATAGGAAACACAAAGAAAAAAGTAAAACAATGTCTCCAAGTTCACAGAATCTTAACTAGAGTCATTGCACTTGAGTGAAAATGTACTAGACTGCAAAATTTGGGAACTGAGTTCTAGCCCCATTTTGACACTACTAACCAGACACCTAAACATGGACATCACTTTAGTCTCTGTATCTTAATTTCCTTACCTTCTAAATGAGGCATGAACGGGGTGTGCATGTGTGTGTGTGTGTGTCTGTGTGTGGTGTGGTGAGGGACAGGTAAGGAATAGGTTCAGTTAATCTTTAATGATATACCCTGAACATTCTAGAATTTTATACTAATTTATGACAGAGCAGGTGTTTTCCTACATGTAAACTGAATATATTAAAAAAAATAAAAAATCTAAATGAGAGCAAGATTTTAAGAATTTGTCTTACAGGTGGAATAAATGTAAACAGTTCCTTATTGCTATTGGTGTCCATATTTAAATCTTCTGACCTGCTGGATGAGGGGTGAAGAAAGATTTGAATATAAATTCAGAGAACGTTTGTAAGGCCAGATCCCCCTTAAGGGTTGTATAAGGAAATGCTTAAATGAATGTTACTTTGTGGCTGTATAAGTTATTTACTAATTTTGAATTTATTTATTTATTTGAATTTATTTATTCTTTGCAATCAGATAGGACAGAGTTTCAATCTTGTTTGTAATATTTCATGGTATATATATACCACATCTTCTCTATCCATTCATCTGTTGATGGACACCTTAGGTTGTTTCCGTACCTTGGCTATTTCGAATAAAGCTGCAATGAACATGGGAGTACAGATATCTCTTTGAGATAATGAGTTTGTTTCCTTTGGATATATACCCAGAACTGGGATTGTTGGATCATGTGGTAGTTCTATTTTTAATTTCTTAAAAAACTCCCAGCTGTTTTCCATAGTGGCTGTTCCCATTTCTGCACATTTTCATCAACCTTTGTTATTTGTTGTTTGTTTGACAATAACCGTCCTAACAGATGTGAGGTGGTATCTCATTGTAGTTTTGATTTGAGTTTCCTTGATGATTAGTGATGTTGAGCACCTTTTCATGTACTGTTGGCCATGTGTATGTCTTTTTTGGAAAAATGTCTATTCGGGTTCTTTGTCAATTTTTAAATTTTAAATTTGTTCTCTTGCTATTAAGTTGTATGAGTTCCTTGTACATTTGGGATATTAACCCCTTACCAGATATGTTATTTGCAAGTATTTTCTCCTATTCCATAGGTTGCCTTTTAATTTTGTTGATGGTTTCCTTTGCCGTGCAGAAGCATTTTAATTTGA